GATCTTGTCTTAAAAACAAATGCATGCCAATTACAGACTTTGGCAAGCAGGATGGTATATTCCAGATTTTGGCTGATCATCCAACTAGGACTCACAGAGGACAGGTGGCTTTCTGGAAGCACAGATGACCCTTAGTAAGGTGAACATCACTGACTCGTATCTGGAATTCTGCTTTGCATTAATACTCCTGTAGGTTTTTCTCAAACAGGAGCTTTTGAACTTATCGGTCTGACATAAAATCCAAAATAGTTTCTAGTCATATAATTAAACAGTCATAAGAATTTCTCTAGGTCATGATGCTCTAATTTCATTGTGAAATACCACAAATATGTCCAGTTAACGTATTAAATATGAAAAGACTTGCTGAAGAGACTCAATTTATTAATGATTCACTAGAACTTCTTAAAGCATCTATTTGAAATTCATTTATAATTCATTTCCCAGCTTAGCTGCAGTTCCCACATGGCAAATATTTATCAAATATTACTCTGTTTTAAGTCCTTCCTTTATATTTATTTGTAGAATACTTTTTCCCCCAAATAATGGCTAACCTTCCTAAAAGCATCCATCTATCTATTGTAATTTAATGTGCATTTTCTGATAAGGCGACAGTCATGGGCTTTCAGATATAACAGCATACACTGTGCAATCAAACAAAAGAATAATTATTAAACATAATTGCTGGCTATAAATTGAACAAGATACACTGAGTACATCATAAATATTTATTAGAGAGCAACCATCATCATTAATAAACCTAGCATCTTAAAACCCTGCCATGGCGAGAAAAACTTCACCACTCACCTTCCAATGAACCACACATCACCAAATGAGTATTTTCAGTATGAAAATCAGAAAATCTGGCCTGACTAGTCCAAGTGGATTTATAAGGGTGAGCAAGTAGAGAATACTGGATGAGACTGCTCATGGTCCTATGCCCCAGCACCGACCATGTATGATCTCCAGTTCCAATGGCTTATCACAGCTACAGGGCAATTGCTAAGTAGAGAATACTGGCTTTGGATTAGAAACATGGTTATCCTTCAAATCTTCATCAAATTACTTAAGTTCTCCATGCCAACTGTACAGCAAAAATAACATCTACCTAAATGAGTTGTTGTGAAGCCAAAAGTGTGATAGATAACATACTTGCTAAGTACCTACTCTACTATTACTATTTCTACTACTTCTGATACTTACACCACTACATTCACTACTGACTGTTACTACTTCTACTACTACAAACACTAGGCAAGTCATTTCATCCCAATTCTCTTAGCTGGGATATTGTTAGTGAGCCCATATAAATAATAATAATCCTGATTTTTTTAGACCCAAAGCCCATAAGACCCACTAAACTGGCAAAAAAAAAAAAAAAAAAAAAAACCCAAAACAAAATAAAACAAATAACAAGTGGTGTGGGGAAGTTGGAGTCCTCATACACTGCTAATGGGAAAGTAAAACAGTGCAGCCACTTCAGAAAGCATTTTGGCTGTTCCTCAAAAGCTCAAAAATAGAGTTACCATATGACCCAGCAATTCCACGCCTAGGTATATATCCAAAAGAAATAAAAACATATGTCCACACAAAAACATATGTGAATGTTCATACCAGCATTAATCAAAATAGCCCAAAATAGACAACCCAAATGTCCATCAACTGATAAGGAGATAAAATATGGTATATCCATACAATGGGATATTATTCGCAAATAAAAAGGAATGAAGTACTGATACTACCATATCGATGAACCTTGAAAACATTATGCCAGGTGAAAGAAGCCAATCAAAAGATCACATGCTATAGGACTGTGTTTATATTAATTGCCCAGACTAGACAAATTCATATAGAAGGTAGATTCCTGATGACCAGGGAGGTTGTCGGGTGAAAGGAGGGTAGAATGAGGAGTGACTGCTAATGGGTACAAGGTTGACAAGGTTGCTCTTGGGGGTGATGAAATGTTTAAACTTAGTGGTGATGTCTGCACAACATCCTAAGACCAATGAATTTTAAGGTATGTGATTTGTATCTTTAAAAAAGTGTAATAAAAATAGAACTAATAAATAAAGTTTTTGTATTTTTAGTAGGGGAGCATCAGAAGGAAATGAAGTCATCTTTAGTGAGTCTGCTGTGCTCTGTCAAGGACTACCAGTGCCACACAGGACCATAGGCAGGACAGGCAATGTGGACTTAGGCACAAGTGATAAAGTGAGTGGGGTTGTGGGCAGTCACTACTCCTCATCCTACATATCTGCTCTCCCACTAGGAAGTGAGTTATTTAGGATAAAAAATAGAACACAAGAGTGGGAAGAGTAGGACTGCTATAAGCTCTAGAGTTGAAAACATCTGTTTGAAAGTTGAGGTTTAAAACCCTGTTCCCATGTATACTATCTTGTGACTTAACCTCTATGGGCTTCAGTTTCTTCATCTACAGAATGGATGTAACAAGAGTACCTTATTTCACATGGTGGCAGGAGGATACGTTAACACATATAAACCCCTTAGAACAGTGTCTGACAAGACTAAGCACCATCTCCACCATAGGCATTGCTGAAAATGTAGTTCTTGTTGTTAGAACAGGCTGACTCTGCTCTCACAGTCAAATACAGGCATGCAGCACAGTAACATCTGCTCCTGTTAACATCCCCCACATAATACCAATCAAACTTCCTACTTTGTCACCAAGGAGTGTAGGCTTTGTTCATATACTGATGACAATTGCTTCCATGAGGTCCCTTCATTAACACAGAAAATAATACACCCAGGGAGAGCAGCACAGGGTATCTGCATCAACTAATTACAGCAGCAGCTACTGCTGAAGTACCTATAGCATAAAGAGCCAGGTAGAGTTTCAGGAATTGTACATTCACGGCCTCACTGAATTTTCACAACAAGCTTGTGAGGCAGGTATTGTTGACACCAACACTTTACAGATAAGGAAAGTTCAAATATGTTGAGTAATTTCACCAAGTTACTATACAGTCAAATAAGTCATTGCTGGAATTTGAACCCAGATCAGTCTTGTCCGAGGGCGTTTTCCAATACATTGTTACTCCAGATGTCCAAGAGAAGAGTAAATTTGAAAATAAGATAAGAGTGCTTGTGGACCAAAATAATCATATTCAGGTTGACAGAGTGCCAAAGTGCATTCAGTGCCATTCACTCCTCCACACCCTCCTTAATTCACTCACACATATAGTAAGCATGTATTATGTGCTGGGATAAAAATTTTCTTTGAAAAATATAGACTTTAAAAGAAAATTAGAGAATAATAGAACAATATGAACAATATAATCAAAACAATGATATGATCAACACATTAACTGAAGAATAGAAGAATGACTAGGCAAAGCCAAGAGCAGAAAAACTTCAATTGCTTGCTTATACACTGGCAATGAAGGATCAATCAATGCTACAGTATATATCTTTTGAATAATAAGAAAATAGTCTGTCATCTAAAAATGTAAGTCAGATTTGATGTGCTATTAAGATTGAGCTGATCTTAGAAATGCAATACTTTTATTTTTTTGAGACGGAGTCTAGCTCTGTTGCCCAGGCTGGAGTGCAGCAGTGTGATCTCGGCTCACTGCAACCTCTGCCTCCCCGGCTCAAGCGATTCTTTTGCCTCAGCCTCCTGAGTAGCTGAAATTACAGGCACATGCCACCACATCTGGCTAATTCTTGGTGGAGACAGGGTTTCACCACGTTGGCCAGGCTGGCCTCAAACTCCTGATCTCAGGTGATTCACCCGCCTCAGCCTCCCAAAATGCTGGGCTTACAGGCATGAACCACCGTGCCTGGCCTACTTTTAAAACAAAAGTTAATAATAAAATGTCACTGAATTAACAAAGCAATTATGATATGCGAAAGTCATTTCCGTTGAAAATACCACAAGAGTAAACAGTAAAATGCCACAAATAAATATGAATTAAAGCAATATATTTAAAATTAAACTTAAAACATTAGTAAGAAGGTTATGGAAAAATGTCTATATTATTCCTGAATATTATTTAACACAGTCATTGCTTTCATTCATGAGAAAAATAAAGAACAGTGTACACTCTTGATAATCTATTGCCAAGCTGGACGCTCATCTCTAAATTTTACTAAAATGTGTGTACTGATTATTCTCCTTAAATTAAATCAGATATTATTTTCAAATTAGGGATACAGCAAATAAGATTTCTTTTAAATTATATCAAACCTAAATCTATCTTTTAAGATAATCCCTTTTAAAATTAGTTGACTTCAATCTTTATTATTATGAAAAGAAATTATGCTTGTGTGGAAAATAATTTTTGAACTGTAATATGTTGTAGAAAATTTAATAAATTCTACAGAGCTTTCAGCTCTCTGAGAAAAAGAAAGGACAGTATAGAAATCTTTTAATCAAATCTTTAATTTGAAATCCAACCTTTTGTTTTTAGCTACAGTGAATATATGTTTTTATTTTTTTTATTTAATGAAGAAAAGCAGAAAAAAAGATTTAATTGTTCTTGGTAAGCTGTTTAACAACAATGATTTCAAGACAAATATAATGTCAATAAAAAGAAGCTTTAAAAAAAAAGAACTGACAGTAAAAGCCAAAACAACAAATCCAAACAGAAATGTATTAGAATATCTCTCAAAACAGTCATGTCTATCTACAGATTTCCCCCTAAACATACACATAAGCTGAGAATCTTTCCATCCAAAGACATGTGACAAGAAATTAAGACAGTTGCTGTTTTATTCTTCTGCTGACCCAAAAAATCAGAGCCTTTGTAGCCAGCTTCAGGTGTGAGTTACACCCTCTCCTTTTCTTAGGGATCCTCTTAGGGATTGACCTTGGCCAGGGTCAATCTTCAAGGGCAAATCCAGAATGTTCCCCCCCTCCAAAAAAAAATTATTGTGCAGATGAATTTAAAAACAAGGAAGGTTCAGATAATGAGAAGGTGGAGGAAACAAAAATGACGTAGGAAAAATACTGATATAATAGCATAATAATTTAAAATATGTACCTTTACTCTTTGGTCATCAACGTCTACAATCGTAGCAACACGAATTAATCTGGGGTTTCGTTTATCCACAACTTCAAGTTTCATATTTGGTAGAAAACCATGAGGCAACCTCTGTAAATATCATAAGTACAACAAGTCATGCAAAATTCAGTAATTCAGATATCCTTCTAATTTTTTCTAACATACTACTGTTTTAGTATGCAGATCTTTAATACAACTGGAATTTAGTTTTTTGCTTTTTTGTGATGGAGTTTCGCTCTTCTCGCCCAGGCTGGAGTGCAATGGTGCGATCTCAGCTCACTGCAACCTCTGCCTCCCGAGTTCAAGTGATTCTCCTGTCTCAGCCTCCAGAGTAGCTGGGATTACAGGCATGTGCAGCCATACCCAGCTAATTGTTATATTATTAGTAGAGACAGGGTTTCACCATGTTGGCCAGGCTGGTCTCGAACTGCTGAGCTCAGGTGATCTGCCTGCCTCGGCCTCCCGAAGTGCTGGGGTTACAGGCGTGAGTCACTGTGCCTGGCTCGAATTTAGTTTTAAGAGCACATAGGACTGTATGCATATTATTTCATTCATTTCAAAAAAACTTGTGAGAAAATAGTTTTTTCTGCCATTTTAAAGATAGCTAAAAAGACAAAGAGATTACATCATAAATTTGTTAATGATTACACTAAAGTTCAAAAAGCATCTTATTACAGTTCCTATGTTAGTTTAGATATTTTTTATTCATTTAATACTGACCTTATAATTTCATAAATTATTGACTATTCTCAATTGCCCAGTTTCCGTGTATAGCCCAGAAGGCAAAACTATTTAATAAATACTCAGAAAGGATAAACATGATCCTTTACAAATCTAAAATATGCTTAGATAAAAGCTGTGTAATTTCAGCTGTTAAACTGTTTTAAAATCATATTATGATGTACTTTAAAGCCATAACCTATGCTTTTGTCATTTCATCTGCAACATGAGACAGGTGATCTTTGTTAAGGTCTCTTTCAAGTCTTACAATGCTAGGAACCAAGAGTCTATAACCACAGACACACAGGGAGTCATCATCGTGGAGTAAGAAAAAAGACACTGGACTTAACCAAATCATGGAAACTAAGGAAATTCAACTCTGAAAAATCAAAGTCAAAGGCAACTCTGATAGTTTCTATAGGTTGGCAAAAAGTTTCACTTTGAAAGCTATTATGCATAAAAGTGTTCGATTGGTTTTATTAGAAACAAAAATGTTTTGAATTTTTCAAGTCTAGAAATGGCAAAAGGAAAATAAAGCCCTACTAATACATCAGTAATATTGTAAACAGTCAAATATTTCTGCACTATCTGGAATGTTTCTCACCAGCTTTTATAGAAACACATTTTCTTTGTAAGCTGTATTATTACATCTACCGAATGGAGTATATGAACTATAATTAGGTCTTTGATCCCTGAGAATCTTTCTGTTCTCCCCGAGGTCACTGTCCTGAACAACAAAGGTTTAGTATCGTAGATGCCTAAGATCCATACCTGAGCCGAATCCACAATAACCCAGAACAGAGCCTGAAAGTTGCCTTCTTAGCTACTTTTCAGAATTTTATTTTCTGGTCATTTTCCTCTTGGAAAAGTAAAGTACAGTAAGCATTTTTGCTTACTGAATCTTTGCTCTTCTTAAAGCCCTTCTTAGTGCTCCAGAACTTCTACCTTCCTGATTTTATTATATGGACATCTTTCCTCAAATGCAGTCAGTTATAATCAATTTTCCAAAAAATGAAATATCATTTTGTTTCAAACCCCTCTTGATCTCTAGAAAACTTTCAGTAAATGAAATCATATGCAGAAGCCCAATATATAAAATTCTGATTAAAGACATGTTGGGGAACAACTTGAAACTGACATAATAACATAATAATTTAAAATATGTACCTTTCAGTCTCAAACACACAGAGAACTGAAAAGGAATAGAGTTTGAAAACCACTGGTTTAGGATATAAATATCTTTAACTGTGCTACCTATGCACTTTATTTTAGGAATTAATTTATACTTAGTTCAATCCTGCAATAAATATATAAGTACAAATTTGAATTTTAAAAATTAATATTCTATCAAGTGCTAAAAGAAAGGTTTACCTCAAAATATATAAAATTATTCACACAAAGGCTATGCATTTCAACTATTTTGTTACGGCATCACAGACATTCAAGTAGTCCCTGAGAGAGTGATACTGAAAAAATTCAGAGTTCTCACTGAGCAGACTAATGGAAACAAAAATGTAAGGAATGGATCATCAGCAGTTGATGAAGTCCTTTCAATTGAACTTCTGATATGCCATTTTTCAAGGAAGGAAGTCATCTACATTTGTATATTAGAACAACAGCAATGAGTCACCTACTTTGTATTTTTAACTAAAACAAAAGCATATTGGTTACAAAACTACTACTTGAATTTAGAAGGAAAAAACTGGAATAATTTAAACTGCCAAATGAAGGCATGACTCAATACAAACGTTTAAAGGTGAGAGTACACACTCACATATTAACTTACCATTTTAAAAACTTTGGCAGGAACTGCATTGGTTTGAGTAGCTTCCAGGTATTCTGTCCAGGAAAAATTTTCTGGATCGGGATAACCTAAAATATATATATAAATATCAAAAGATTACTCATAGATATTCTGATTCCCATATTCTACAAAACATTGGATGATGTAACACCTAATGTTAATTGAATGCTCACCATTTAACAGGCCTGATGCTAAGAACTTCACATATATTAATTCAGTTCACCATAACCTCTGAGAAGGCTAAGGCATGTCTGCATTCAAGCACTTACTCACTGGTACTCTCAGTCACTCAACAAGGTTAAGTGGGTTGCTCAAGGTCAAAGGTCACATGAGTACTCCCCAGAACCAGGTGACACCCAGGTTTCTGATTCCCAAGCTCCAACAAAAGTCTCCTTAGAAGTCTAAAAAAGCTTACAAGCAACCATCTGATCTCAAACCATAAATTGGAAAAAAAGACAAAATCTTTCAAATTTTTCTAATTATTCTATATCTATTAGAGTTTTAGTCTCATTATTAAATCTTTGTAATTACAGTTTCCTACAACTGCAATTAAAAATATATATATTAAACATTATATAAATAACTATTTATTTAAAATTCCTTCTTGTTTCTCTTTATGTTTGTGTTCTTTCATTCCTAATTAAATTTGCTAGAGGTCTATGTTGTATAGTTTTCTTTATCTTTCCAAGCAATAAGTATTTAGATTTATTATCAGCTCTATTTTTTTCTTTTTTCTTTTCTAGTTATTTGTTCACTGCTTTTCCTCTTATTACTTCCTCCCTCCTACCTGTCTCAGGTTTATTCTATACTTGTTTTGTCAAACTGAATTATAAACATAATTTATTTTCATTAAAAAAATAGACAATGAACCTGCCACTGCTGCCATATGTGCATTCTTCCCACTTTTTACTTTCTAACAACGAATATATTTGTAATCTGTGTTGTCTTAATTTAATGCTTAAATATTTATTTGACATATTCCAAGTAATTTTCGTATTTGTTTAAAATAGTAATATTAATATCTAGTTTAGCACATCGTAGTTCCAGAATATCACATGATATATACAATTCCTGCTTTTGAGACTTCAGGATTTCTTTTCAGTATAAAATAGAGGCAACAAATAGAGTATATACATATACACACATATATTTTTAAAAATGTGGTACCATTTGCAGTAATACAATCTAGCTATATTATTCAAAGGTCTGTTCTTTAAGCAGAAAGTCTGAAGCAATAAGCTAAGGTCTCTAATCATTTTTTACAGTTCTCCCATATTTCTGATCATTTTCCTTCATTTTTATACTTTTTACTAAAATATATTTAATGTGCACAAATTGAGTGAACAGACTGAACATTTTTTTAAAAAAACTAGCATACCTGCATATAACCAGACCCAGATCTAAACCAGGACATTTCCAGAGCCCCAGGATCCCTCCCATCATCCTCCCCTCTAGGCCCAACACCAGCCTCCTCAAAGAGAAACACTACCCTGGCTTCCAGTCGCAGAGATTTGTTTTCTTCTGTTTTTCCATTTACATAAATGGAATCACACAGCATGTACTCCTTTGTGGTGAACATCTGCTCAGCATTCTGAATGTGAGGGTCAGGCAGATTATTGCCTTCAGAACATTCATGTTCATTGTTGTATAATATTCCATTATGTGAATATTTCACAATATATCTATTCTACTGATTGTGGTCTTTTGGGTGGTTTCTATTTGGGAGCTATTTTTAAACACGCTGCTATGAACATTCTACTATATTCTTTTTAATGATAAGAAATATACATTTATGTTGGAATGCATCCAGGAGTAAAACTGCTAGATCATGGAGTATTTTGCTTCATATGTTGATGTTACATCATTCTGTATATAAAATGTTTGTCATGAATATTTCTATTTATTATTAGTATAGAGAAAATTTGCCTTTCTCTTTTGGATACATTTATGTATTTTGTCTCAAATTATTTTTACTAAAAATTATATTGTCACTGTTATTTTCTGTTTGTGTTTGCTGATAATAGTTTGCCCATCGTTTTTACTTTTATATTATTTAGTTCCAACATATCTATTTTAAACTCTTTCTAAATAGACTTTAAAATTGAATTAATTTACATTTGTTTTCATCGCTAGTTTTTTTCATCTAATATCTGTAAATATGTTTAAAGCTGAATTTTTTTAAAGCTTTCTTGAGGTTTCCTTTGCTTTCTGTCCTTTCCTTTATAAGCTATGCTATATATCTTATGTTTCAATAAGTATTTCTGCAGTTGCATTTACTTTTTCTTTTTCAAGAGATGGGGCTTCGCTAGTTTGCCCAGACTGAAATGAAGTGGCTATACATTCACACACAGAGGACTGCGGCCTCGAACTCCGGGGCTCACGTGGTTCTCCCACCTCCGCCTTCTGAGTAGCTGGGACTACAGGCACGTGACACCACACCCAACTCTGCATTTACTTTTATAGCTGACATTTTTTAAATTCATCCAAATCCATTCATTACATTTTGGATCTCCACGTTTCTGTGTGGATTTTGAACCATGCCCACACCCAGCCCCTTCCATGCTGGGCTTCCTCACCCAGGCACCTGACTGGAACATGGGGTTGGATGAAGTGAAAGAAAACCTGAGTGCAGGGGACTAAGGACTGGATGCGAGCTGAGTGAGAGAGGCAGCACCCGTCCTGTCCCAGCCTGGTAAAGAAATTCAGCATGCTAATGTGAGAGGCACTATCCTTCTCCCCGCCCTCGCCTTTTTTTATTTTTATTTTTTTGAGACGGAGTTTCGCTCTTGTTACCCAGGCTGGAGTGCAATGGCGCGATCTCAGCTCACCGCAATCTCTGCCTCCTGGGTTCAGGCAATTCTCCTGCCTCAGCCTCCTGAGTAGCTGGGATTACAGGCACGCGCCACCATGCCCAGCTAATTTTTTGTAGTTTTAGTAGAGACGGGGTTTCACCGTGTTGACCAGGATGGTCTCGATCTCTTGACCTCGTGATCCACCCGCCTCGGCCTCCCAAAGTGCTGGGATTACAGGTGTGAGCCACCGCGCCCGGCCCCCTTCTTCCCCTTTTTGTAATAAACAAGTGAAAAAGGCTATGACCGTTTTAAATGCTTCTTAAATGCAAAAAAGGGAAAACATTGTATTACCTTTATATTCCCTGTTCAATGAACCCAAGGAGAGAAGAATGTCATATGGCCCAGGGAGACTTGCAAAAGCCACCCTCTCCCACTTTCTTCCTCCAGCCCCACCCCTGAGTCCTTGCAGACCTTGGGAAGCAAGACGTAGGGCTGTGGGGGAGTGGGAGGGGCTGTTCCATGCACACAGCTGTGCAGCAATATCAGGGCAGAAGCTTTTCAAAGATTTAGATTCGCACTTGAGACAAGAATGGAATACCCCATGGAACAAGAATAGCCTTTAACCTCTTCACTCCTCTCAATGAAAACTCACCTCTAGGCTGGGCGCGGTGGCTCACGCCTGTAATCCCAACACTTTGGGAGGCCCAGGCGGGTGGATCACGAGGTCTGGAGATCGAGACTATCCTGCCTAAAAATGTTAGCCAGGCATGGTGGCGGGCACCTGCAGTAGACCCAGCTACTCAGGAAGCTGAAGCAGGAGAATCGCTTGAACCCAGGAGGTGGAGGTTGCAGTCAGCCGAAATCGCGCCTCAGCACTCCAGCCTGGGCAACAGAGCGAGACTCCAACTCAAAAAAAAAAAAAAGAAAGAAAAAGAAAACCCACCGCTAACAGGCTTCACTTTGGTAAGCACTGTATTCACGTGAAGTCAGTTATTCCTCATCTATTCCCTGTGAGGTACACTTTTTATCCTTGTTTTGTAGGTTAGAGCTTGAGACCTTAGCAGCCTGCCAAGTGCTATGCAGTTAGAAAGCGGAAGAAATGGGATCTGAACAATGAGAAGTGGCTCCATCACCCTCCTGCTAATCACTGAGACCTGCTAAGACTGAAAACCCAGCGCATCCGTGGTCCAAGGCAGCCCCTTTCAGGTCGCAGGTCTGAGGAGCCGAGCTCCCCCTGGAGGCCACGGCATAGAGCTGCGGCAGCGAGAAGGCGGGAATATAGACAGCCGGATTGGAGACTGGACTACACTACTTAAATTATTTATTCATGTCCCACCTCATTCCATGCCATTTTGAGTTTAAAACTTGCATGCTTTGGTTCAGCCATCCATACTCACAGCCACAGCTTGGACCTCATTCTTTGAAGAAAACAGAGGTTCAAGCTGTGGCTGTGGGCATGGGTGGCTGAACCAAAGCATGGAAAAAGTGTCCCAGAAATTAGTATCAAGGAATTACTAAGCTAAGGCATCTGCCACGCAGCCCCGGATTTCCTCACCATGCCAGCAATTCTTCCGGTAAAAAGGTAGATCTGGGTGACAAATATCTTCAGTTAATGATGAAGAAAAATTAAAAATCATCTAGATGGTGGCAAAATTAGGGGTGAGATGTGGTAGAGCAGAGCAGCCTGAGCCATCAGGAAGAAGGGTTTTTCCAAACAGCTGAGAACTGTTTTAGAAGAAGAAGAGAACTACTTGGGATATGACAGAATAAGCCATCTCCTTCACAGGCTGCAGGGAAGTGGTGGCCTCAAAAGGGACAATGGAGGAAGCCGTGTGTGAAAAAGCTGGGATCAGCCCGGCATGGTGGCGCACACCTGTAGTCCCAGCTACTCAGGAAGCTGCAGTGGGAGGATTGCTTGAGCCGCTGAGTTTGAGGCCAGCCTAGGAACATAACGAGACTTCACCTCTATTTTAAAATAAAATTTTGAACAAAGGAAAATAAACTGGGATCTAGGAAGATTATTTTCAGAACCTGGAGTGGAACACATTCAGAGTCAATAAAAATGTCCCTCTGAGGGATGCAAATATGGAAGCAAAAAGGGAAACACTTAAGGGCCAAACTAAGGTGAATATACATGAAAACATTCTGTACCACGTCATTCCAATGGCTTCCTCCATTACAAAGGGGAAAAGCAAATGCTTACCATGACCTACAGGGCCCTACAGAACTTCACCCCACTACTGCTCTGGCCTCATCTCCCATTCACTACTCTCCTG